TCTAGAATGATGTGTGAAAAGTTACGTGAAAATCGGTTCAGATTTAGATATGGCTACCATAAATAGCTTCGCCCGATTTTAGGTAAATAGTCCACTAAAGTCCCTGGAAATCTTTTCAATTGCACGAATTTTGGCATAGCGTACTGAATTAAGTCTAGAATGATGAGTGCCAAGTATCGTGAAAATCGGAACAGATTTAGATATAGCTTCTATATATGTATCTTCGTCCGATTCACGGTAAATTCTGTACCAAAGTCCCTAAAAGTGTACTGAATTAGGTTCAGAATGATGTGTACAAAGCTTCGTGAAAATCGATTCAGATTTAGATATAGCTCCCATAAATAGCTTCGCCCGATTTTAGGTAAATAGTCCACTAAAGTCCCTGGAAATCTTTTCATTTGCACGAATTTTGGGATAGTGTACCGCATTAAGTTTAGAATGATGAGTGCAAAGTTTCGTGAAAATCGGTTCAGATTTAGATATAGCTCCCATATATATTTTCATCCGATTTTAGGTAATTGGTGCACCAAAGTCTCTGAAAAGCATTCGATTTGCACGAAATTTGCCATAGCGTCATAACGAAGGCTAGAATGACCTGTGCTAAGTTTCGTTGGATGGATATCTGGGATAGCTAAAAACATTACGATGTACAAAGTTCTGATAAAAATGAATATACCGTTCACTCCTTAATGGGATTTGCATTGCATTTTCAAAATGTTGAGCATTTGTGGGAGAGGTATTTGAAAGGATTGACCGATATGTCTCATCTCCTTAAAATATATAGGCCTAACAAAAATATAAGGTTGATTTGGGCATTTTGTGGGGGAGGTACCAGAAGTAGTAGACCGGTTTGCCTCATTTTCGAACTTAATATGAGTTTTGCAAAATTTCGATCAAATCGAATATTCCATTAGGCAAATATTAAATTTATAAATATTGAAAATTCCGACCCTTTTGTGGAGAAGGTACCAGAAGAAGTGGACCAAAAGTTCCACCTTCGGACTTGATCTTGGCTTGCTAATAATAATAATAGGTTGTGCAAAGTTTCAGTGCAATAGGTCGCTCCCTTCGAGAGTTATCGTGCGCAACATCCAGTCGGATGGATGGACATATGTAAATTTACTTCAAATCATCGGAAACGGAATAGGTACAAAGAAACAAGGGTTATAAAACCAATATTTCGATGTGAAACAGTTTTTCCATAGGAAAAGGTATATACCCTCTTTAGCCTTTAGGCTATATGAAACCTGAACTTATTTGAAACAAATTGAAAATGATATTGGGCAATTTGATAACATGCCACACCATTTTGTTGAAATCGAACGAACCTATAATGGTTCCCACCGACTATATCTCTTTTGCATGCCTACCACAAGTTGGAGGGTACATAACGTTCGGCGGGCTAGAATTATTTTATTATCTTTTCAGGAATGAAGCATTTTCCTCAATTCACTTTGTCCTACAATGTTAACTTGCAACATATCATAAATTCGTATCCCCAAAATCCGGACACTTATTTACTTACAAAAGGCAAAATAAATCGAAAAGATTTTTTATCGTTGAATGTGTAAATAAAATTACACGAATACATTCAGTTGACTGACCATGATTTCGGTCATCAAAGTTCATATATATACCCAACGCACCCAAGGGATATTTTTTGTTGAAATGGAAGACAGAAACATAAAAAATAAATTAAAGACGATTGTTTTATTGCGGAAAATGGTTTTATTGACACAAGAAAATGAGTGTGTGTGTATGTGTATGTGAAATGCCTAGAGATGGGCAGTGGGTAAATACCCAAAGGGTAAATACCCGGTAAATTGGGTAAATACCCGGTAAATTGGGTAAATACCCATTTGTGGGTATTTATTTGGGTATTTACTATATTGAATCGGTAATACAACATCTTGCACCCTATTTCCGGGTTTCTGTTATCAAATCGATTTAGAATGGATAGTTTTACGATACTTTAAAGACGTGGGTAAATACTTGGGTAAATACCCGAGTTTTTACCCAAAAATTGGGTATAAACTCATTAACTGCCGAACCACTTGACGTAGGCGGCCAAAATTTTGCACACATGTTTCTAATTACAAAGCAAATATAGAAATCCAACATGGGGTCCCTGGGTCCAAGTTTTGATATAGCCCCCATATAACCATATCTCCCGATTTAAGGTATTTTTTGTTTATTAGACACATTTTACAACCAAATTGGCTGTAATTTGGCACAGAGTGCTCTTTTTGGGTACAAAATGTCCATGCAAAATTTTATGTATGTAGGTCCACGTTTACTGGTAGCCCCCATACAAAGGTACCCCTATTTTGAGTATTTACCCAAAAATTGGGTATAAACTCATTAACTGCCGAACCACTTGACGTAGGCGGCCAAAATTTTGCACACATGTTTCTAATGACAAAGCAAATATAGAAATCCAACATGGGGTCCCTGGGTCCAAGTTTTGATATAGCCCCCATATAACCGTATCTCCCGATTTAAGGTATTTTTTGTTTATTAGACACATTTTACAACCAAATTGGCTGTAATTTGGCACAGAGTGCTCTTTTTGGGTACAAAATGTCCATGCAAAATTTTATGTATGTAGGTCCACGTTTACTGGTAGCCCCCATCCAAAGGTACCCCTATTTTGAGTATTTACGCAAAAATTGGGTATAAACTCATTAACTGCCGAACCACTTGACGTAGGCGGCCAAAATTTTGCACACATGTTTCTAATGACAAAACAAATATAGAAATCCAACATGGGGTCCCTGGGTCCAAGTTTTGATATAGCCCCCATATAACCATATCTCCCGATTTAAGGTATTTTTTGTTTATTAAACACATTTTACAACCAAATTGGCTGTAATTTGGCACAGAGTGCTCTTTTTGGGTACAAAATGTCCATGCAAAATTTTATGTATGTAGGTCCACGTTTACTGGTAGCCCCCATACAAAGGTACCCCTATTTTGAGTATTTACCCAAAAATTGGGTATAAACTCATTAACTGCCGAACCACTTTTGCACACATGTTTCTAATGACAAAACAAATATAGAAATCCAACATGGGGTCCCTGGGTCCAAGTTTTGATATAGCCCCCATATAACCGTATCTCCCGATTTAAGGTATTTTTTGCCTATTAGACACATTTTAAGGACAAATTGGCTGTAATTTGGCACAGAGTGTTCTTTTTGGGTACCAAATGTCCATGCAACATTTTATGTATGTAGGTCCACGTTTACTGGTAGCCCCCATACAAAGGTACCCCTATTTTGAGTATTTACCCAAAAATTGGGTATAAACTCATTAACTGCCGAACCACTTGACATAGGCGGCCAAAACTTTCCACACATGTTTCTAATGTCAAAGCAAATATAGAAATCCAACATGGGGACCCTGGGTCCAAGTTTTGATATAGCCCCCATATAACCGTATCTCCCGATTTAAGGACATTTTTATCTATTAGCCAATTTGATTAGCTGGAATTTGGCTTAGAGAGTTCTCTATGAGTACCAATTGTTTGCTCTGGTCAACTTTTTCTGTCCTATATAGCGGTCCTGATTTTGGGTATTTATATATATTTATAAACTCTTTTACAGCCGAACTATTTGACGTGTGTTTTGAAGACCCCTTTTCCCATACAGGAAATAATATTGATTTTAAACCATGTGTGTCAAAAACCACATTTTGCATGAATATTTTGTGCAAAAAAAATCTCACTATGCCAAATTACAACCAATTTGATCGTAAAAGTACCTTAAATCGGTAGGTACGGTTATATGGGGGCTATATCAAAACTTGGACCCAGGGGCCCCATTTTGGATTTCAATATTTGTATTGATATAAAAACCATCTGAGCCAAATTTTGGCCGCCTATGTCAAGTGGTTCGGCAGTTAATGAGTTTATACCCAATTTTTGGGTAAATACTCAAAATAGGGGTACCTTTGTATGGGGGCTACCAGAAAACGTGGACCTACATACATAAAATTTTGCATGGACATTTTGTACCCAAAAAGAGAACTCTGTGCTAAATTACAGCCAATTTGGTTGTAAAATGTGTCTAATAGGCAAAAAATACCTTAAATCGGGAGATACGGTTATATGGGGGCTATATCAAAACTTGGGCCCAGAGTCCCCATGTTGGATTTCTATATTTGTTTTGTCATTAGAAACATGTGTGCAAAATTTTGGCCGCCTATGTCAAGTGGTTCGGCAGTTAATGAGTTTATACCCAATTTTTGGGTAAATACTCAAAATAGGGGTACCTTTGTATGGGGGCTACCAGTAAACGTGGACCTACATACATAAAATTTTGCATGGACATTTGGTACCCAAAAAGAGCACTCTGTGCCAAATTACAGCCAATTTGGTTGTAAAATGTGTTTAATAAACAAAAAATACCTTAAATCGGGAGATATGGTTATATGGGGGCTATATCAAAACTTGGACCCAGGGACCCCATGTTGGATTTCTATATTTGCTTTGTAATTAGAAACATGTGTGCAAAATTTTGGCCGCCTACGTCAAGTGGTTCGGCAGTTAATGAGTTTATACCCAATTTTTGGGTAAAAACTCGGGTATTTACCCAAGTATTTACCCACGTCTTTAAAGTATCGTAAAACTATCCATTCTAAATCGATTTGATAACAGAAACCCGGAAATAGGGTGCAAGATGTTGTATTACCGAGTCAATATAGTAAATACCCAAATAAATACCCGCAAATGGGTATTTACCCGGTATTTACCCACCCCTTGGGTATTTACCCGGTAAATACCATCTCTAGAAATGCCGACAAGTTTCTTATCAAGTTATACGATTTCTCGCAGGGAAATTTAATTAAATGCTATTGACACTTTACTAAGAAATGTAATCTATTACATGTTCCGAAAAGTATACACACCACACACGCACTTACGAAAACGAACAGACAAACCTCAGTTTAAGGCTGTGATATTTATTTCAGATTTTGAAATAATAAGCATAAAATTATTTTTTATTTTTGTTTATCCAAAAGTGAATTCAGTAGAGCAAAATAGGACATTGCTGTGGAGAGAATCTGCAAGGCAAACAACTTGAAATAATATAAAATAATTAAATTGTTTTCAAAATCTCCTTACCGTTGTAAAAGTACCCAATGACGACACGGTAAATTTCATTGCAGTCAATTGTAGAGGACGTTGACTACGCATAATCATAAATTGTAATTTTCGTTGAAATTCGCGATTAGCTGGATAATATTCTATGTGCTTCCATGATGGCATCTTTGAATTTAGTGTATCCAACTCGATGTAGTCCTCATTTTGTAGCAACGCTGAGTGTTGAGATATTTTTCCACCTTCCCAGTTGCAGGTGTATAAATAATTTACTGTATCTAAGGACTGGAAGGGTGTTTGTTATAAATTAATAATTATACGTTTTTATATGAAGAATATTACCCTTGTTATAAGTATCGTACCAAGTTGGCACATAACATACAATTGTCCGGTCATCGAAAAGAAGAACAGAGAGAAACGCAAAAAGTCACTCAGCGAATTACGACCAGCCTTTATAAAGTTGCATGCATATATTAAAATGAGAGAAAGAAGAAAAATTTATAATTGTTCATTTATATTTCATGAAATAAGAAATTAAACCAGTAAGGAAAGGAGTAAAGTCGGACGGCCCGATTTTCTCAAAACTTCGCAGACATAATTCCGGGCTCAATTCCGTACGTTATACTAAATTTCGTGCAAATCGAAAGATATATAGGTACTTTGGTACACCATTTACCTAAAATCGTGCGAAACTATATATATATATTTGTAAATCTAGACCGATTTTCACAAAACTATTCACACGTCATTCTAAACCTAATTCAATATGCTATACCAAAATTCGTGCAAATCAAATGATTTTCAGGGACTTTGGTGCACCATTTATCTAAAATCGGGCGAAACTATATGGGAGCTATATCTAAATCTGAACCGATTTCCACGAAACTTAGGACACATCATTCTAGACCTAATTCAGTAGGCTATACCAACTTTCGTGCAAATCGAAAGATATATAGGGACTTTGGTGCACCATTTATCTAAAATCGGGCGAAACTATATAGGAGCTATATCTAAATCTGAACCGACCTAATTCAGTAGGCTATGCCAAATTTCGCGCAAATCGATGGATATATAGGGACTTTGGTACACTATTTACCTAAAATCGAGCGAAACTATATATGGGAGCTATATCTAAATCTGAACCGATTTTCACGAAACTTAGCACACGTTATTCTAGACTTAATTCAATACGCTATGCCAAAATTCGTGTAAATCAAATGATTTTCAGGAACTTTGGTGCACCATTTACCTAAACTCGGGCGAAACTATATATGGGAGCTATATGTAAATCTGAACCGAATTTCAAGAAATTTTACACACATCATTCTAGACCTAATTCATTAAGCTATACCAAATTTCGTGCAAATCGAAAGATATTTAGGGACTTTGGTACCCCATTTAGCTTAAATCGGACGAAAATATATATGGGAGCTATATCTAAATCTGGACCGATTTTACCCAATTTCAATAGGGTTCGTCCTTGGGCCGAACAAGTGAGCTGTGCCAAATTTCATCCAATTCGGATCATAAATGCGACCTGTACTTTGTTTACAATTTAACATGGACAGACGGACAGACGGACGGACAGGCATAAATCTACTTAAAAAGTGATTCTATGCATATCCTCAAAAGGAACCATGGGTCTATCTCGATTATTTTTGCCTGTTAGAAACATATGCACAAAGACATAATACCCTTTACCACAGTGTGGTGAAGGGTATAAATATGTGAACTACATAGATATTAGAACTAACTTAAAACAACTTATACACATACCAATCTGGAATCTATTAAAGAATACATGTCAATCGGACAATCTTAGGTTCTTTGGTGCATCATTTACATAAAATCGGACAAACATATTATGGAAGCTATATCTTAATCTGAACAGATTAAAAAAAAACAACCTTAACAAACATCATTCATGATTCAATTGCATTCGCTATGCAAACTTTCGTATAAATCAATCTGGGCTCATTGATGCACCATTTACCTAAAATCAGACGAAACTATACATGGGAGTCATATATAAATCTGAACCGATTTTCTCAAATTTCAATCGGGTTCGCCCTTGGGGCAAATATGTTAACTGTGCCAAATTTCATCTCATTCTGATAATAAATTTGACCTGTAATTGGTTTAGATAGATGAAAGAACATACATACATCGACTCAGAAAGCGATGAATATTCTCAAAAGGAAACATGTGTCTATATCGTTTCTTTATGCATGTTACAAGCATATACACAAATACATAATAGCCATAGCCACAGTGTGATGAAGGGTATACTTATTTTATTCCAAAGAGTACAATGGTTCGTATACGTAATAAGCAATATTCCGTACGCTGAATTGACATTAGTTATACGCACGAGAGGTATTAATCAAAGCCAGCTAAATGGTTTGCAATCATCTATTTAAGGACTATTTTATTTGTTTGATTTAGAACCAAAGATTATTACATATTTTTTGTCAAGGATCTGAAATAGTATTTCTCCCCTTACAGGTCGAAAGTTCAATAGCATTCGTTGGGTAGCTGTGAAGCACAGAAGCACTGTCGAACAAGCAGCGGATTTTGGGGGAGAGTCTCAGAGGAAATTAAATTCTAAATTTAATTATAATGAATGTGGCATTATTATTATTTCTTTTTTTTAATTTCCTAAGATTTAACAAATTGTAACCTCCCCAATGACCTCGACCACTGCAAATGTACCACTGGACTTTTCTCTTATCTCTCCCAACCCTACTATGCTCGATAACATTAACGCAATTCTGAAGAGCCATACGGACGATCTAATTCCTTCCGTCTCTGTTGGGAAAATATCCCAACCCATTTCTTGGATGACTCACACTTGACGAACGAGGAAGACGCAATGGCTACAACTGTGATCAACACAACGTTAATTAAATTAGCTCCTCTAAATCAAGGTGAGTGTCAAATGTGAAGGGAGAGGATATGGTTCTCTGTGAGGGTGGAAGTCTCAGTTCCATGGCGGGCAGTGGCAATTCGAGACTTCCGAGGCGATGCTAGTGTAGAGGAACTTCCTATTGAAGCAATAGATGCAACCACCAATGCAAACAGATCTATGAACCACCGGCAAACATGCCTACCAGAGAGCGGTTAACTTTTGAAACCTGTTCATCGAACAGGAAAGGTGACTTTATTACCGACTAATGTCAAAGGCGATGGGAAGTCGCAATTCGAGACTTCCGAGTCACATAGCAGTTTAAAGCAATGCTAGTGTTGATGCTTCCGACAAAGAATTCCTTCATTTTTAAAGGGACAACGTCAAATGTATTTGAAAGTTCTCACAGCACTATTCTAATGACATTGAGAGGCACCTTTGGTCTGAATGTGGATCCAGTTAGCCCTTCAACGGAGTAGAAACTGCGAGTAGCCTGGGTGCAGAGAGAGACCACCATCTACCATTGCGAAAGAAGGTATGCGGAAGTTGAAACTCAGGGAACCACACCTCGAACACACCCAGTGACTGTGATGAATGAGCAGCAATCTGCTGCAATTTCGAATAAAGGGTTTCTGCTGCTGCTCAATCCGGAGCTCTCGGAGAACTACGAGTGACAATCACTGATCGAGCTGATCCCGATGTGTGAATCAGTGATAATCATTTGCTATCAGGCGATAGGTATCTGAAGCAATTCAATGTCAAAGTCATTAATCCTTTCAGTGTTTTTGTCGAATATATTCGACATTTAAAAATTCAATCTTTCTTTGCGATTTTTAGGTTATCCTATGTACCGTTACCATTGATGTTTTGTTTTTGCGGAAAAACAGACGAAACTGTATATGGCGAAGATGTATATGGGAGCTATATCTAAATCTGAATCGATTTTCACGAAACTTTGCACACATCATTGTAGACTTAATTCAGTACGCTATGCCAAAATTCGTGGAAATCAAATGATTTTCAGGGACTTTGGTGCACCATTTACCTAAAATCGGACGAAGATATATATGGGAGCTATATCTAAATCTGAACCGATTTTCACGAAACTTTGCACACATCATTGTAGACTTAATTCAGTACGCTATGCCAAAATTCGTGCAAATCCAATGATTTTCAGGGACTTTGGTGCACCATTTACCTAAAATCTGACGAAGATATATATGGGAGCTATATCTAAATCTGAACCGATTTTCACGAAACTTTGCACACATGATTGTAGACTTAATTCAGTACGCTATGCCAAAATTCATGCAAATCAAAAGATTTCCAGGGATTTTAGTTTACTATTTACCTAAAATCGGGCGAAACTATATATGGGAGCTGTATCTAAATCAGAATCGATTTTCACGAAACTTTGCACACATCATTCTAGACCTAATTCAATAGGCTGTACCAAATTTCTTTCAAATCGAAAGATATATACGGACTTTGGTAGAACATTTACCTAAAATCGGGCGAAACTATATATGGGAGATAGATCTAAATATGAACCGATTTTCACGAAACTTGGCACACATCATTTTAGACCTAATTCAGTACGCTATACCAAATGTCGTGCAAATCGAAAGATATATAGGGACCATTTACATTAAATCGAACGAAACTATATATGGGAGCTATATCTAAATCTGAACCGATTTTCTCCAATTTCAATAGGGTTCGTCCTTGGGCAAAATAAGTGGCATGTGCCAAATTTCATCCAAATCGGATCGTAAATGCGACCGGTACTTTGTTTACAAAAATACATGGAAACATTGCACATATATGATGCAGACTTTAGGGAAATTTGCCATAAAAAATTGATTCGATTTTGTATTTTTGGTACCGGAGACTAAAAGTACTCTGTGATATCACTGGAAAACATTGTTCGCATAGGTTCATTTATGTTTAATGTACCCTATATAAAAATCTCATTCATTTTTCATTTCATCGGAGTTCTAAACCACGTGGGGATGCAACTTTCATATCTAGTAACTGTCAGTGTACCTATGCTGGAGGGTATCCAAAGTTCGTCTCGGCGGAAATTAACGCCACATATACAAATCGTGTATTTAGGTCCGATTCCATGTCAATGTTCATTTAAGGAAGTTATATTTGTTCTATCGACAAGTTATTATGTATATCAGTCGCTTATTTTGAAAGAGTTTAAGTCAATTTTTTCTTATATTGAGATATTTAAAGGTTTGGGTTTGAAAACACTTTACGTGGTATAAATTATGTTTGCGGTTTTGTACCCTTAAAACATCATAAAACATGTAACGTATTATGTTGTGTAAACTTTTCTAGAAAACCAAGTTCTGCATCGCAACCTAAAATAGACTTAGACAAAATAAACGATTCAAATGATTAGCTCTTGTATGTAGAAGGATATCCTATAGTTGGTTCCGCCCGACTTTTTTACTTTCATTTCTCCATTTGTAGTGTAGGCTTTAAAAAGTACTGCCCATTAGGAGAAGACAACACTTTCGTCGGAGTATCATATATATCTTAATACTCACCACCACAAACTGAAACATATTAGAACATATTTGAAATGTCGATGTCATAATGTTTACCATTAATTGAAATGAAAACATATTTTCCAGTTCCATACAAAACCTAGAATGTAAAAAATAAATAAAGTATTTTTAACACTACCCCAAATATTTACAATTCAACGAACCTTATAAGTTTAGCATGGGTATTGGATAATTCATGCAACCTTTTGACATATAAAGAATGCAAAAAATCCAAATTATTTCCAATCGATGACGAAGATCCATTTATATTCAAGCATTCTGCATGGCAATCGGGTATTAAACGTACAATATTGCCGTGTAAAATTTCAAATTGGCCACAAAGGAAACTTATAAATATGGCTAAGATGGCATCGGTGGCATAAAACAGGGTAACGGTAATTGCTCCAGTGTAAAACGAAGCTATATAGGTTAGGATATAATTTAAAGGTTTTTGAGGATCATAGGGAAACATCATGGGATATGGTAATGTTTTATCGCGGGAATTTAGCGTCTGTCCGTTGGTTATGAGCATTACAATAGGCAGGGCACAATAGATTACCAATACGGCCCACAAAGCAATTGAAAGATAAAATGTTGGCACCGTTCGCCTAATGCAGCGCTCAAATATTTTCGGATGTATTTCTCTGTAAGAACACAATCACCAATTTCAGTTAGTCAGAATTTCCATCTTATTTAAAAACCTTACTTATTTATCCAAATTTTCTCAACAAACATCTGCACGACACCTTTAAATTTCGCCATATTGTAGCGGATGTAGATCATGCGAATGAACACGGTTATACCAATTGTAGATGTGCTAATGGCTTCAACAACTTTTGTGACATCTGAAAAATTGTTAATTATATACACCCAACCGGCAGAAACGATGAAAAATAAACACACGGCACCGAAGATGAACCAAACTTCATAAAATCTTTTTAAAACTTTATTGCCAAAGTCATTCAAGGTGTTGCCCTCTTCCAATGGCCAACAACCGTTTATCATTAAGAAGGTGCGAACTTTAAGAGGTAGCACAAAATTTGCATCATGCACACAGCGAGGCCTGTACAACAAACCCATTTTATTTAACTAACAGAATGATGGCTCCGCAACATTTCACACTGATTGCGAGTTGTTGATTTGTTTTAATTTCTCAAATAAGTTGCCTGCTTTTTGTGATTGTGTTTCGTCTAGACAACAGCACAACATTTGGTTAAATATTTAAAGTTTTATATTTAATCTAGACAATTTCTAATACCCGCCAAAACTTTATTATATTTCATTTATAATTTACGAACTTAGGCTATTTACCAGACAATATACAAAACAAATAAATGTAATGTATAAAAGGAATATCATATTGAACGAATGACTGTTTTAGTAACATTTTGAAACGACAAAAATACAGGACAAATTCCTTGTGGGAATATTTCCAGCTACTTTTGGAAAATGAACAACATCGGGCTACCGCATCTGGATCTCCTCCATAATATGATTATAATTTTCAAGTCCAAGAAAAATATTGGAGTTTTTTTTAACAAGATGTGATTCTGTAGCTGACAATTTTAGAATTACAAATAACATCTCTAGCTGGAACCAGTAAGGAAATTTCTAAAGTCGGACAAGGCCCACTATATGATACCCTTCACGACTTTGGGTACATACATTAAATGTTAATATCTACAATATCCTGTAAATAAAACATGTGTATTATTATGTGAGGTCTTTGGAGGACCATTGAGATGCAATCGGGCTAACTTAAATGAGCTATGTAGATAGATATTTGAATCAATTGAAAAAACCCATACCCATACCATTCAGAAATCAATGAAAAATTGCATGTCAAACGGGCACACTTGGATTCTTTAGTGTACCATTTGTATAAAATCGAGTAAAATTATGTATGGGAGCTATATATCAACACATGGACCTAAATGAGCAACTGTTACATACACCATTTACTTTTTTATCAATATATATTCAGTTTAATACCCTGTGCCAAATTTCGTATAAATCAAACAACCTATATTAAAATCTTAACCGATTTCAACAAATCTTACCTTAATAATACACATAATTTTTTCCTCAATTACATTCGCTATGCAACATTTTGTCCAAATCCGACACATATTGAGAGTTTGGTGTATCATTCAAAAAAATCGGACTACACTATATATGGGGGCTATATCTAAATCTGAAACGATTGTAACAAAAATTCGCAGACATCAGTCTAGACCTAATGCAGTACTCTGTGCAAAATTTTGTCACAATCGGACAAATATTGGGAGTTTGGTGTATCATTCACAAAAAAGCAGACGAAACTATATATGGGAGCTATATCGGAATTTGAACCGATTTTAACAAAACTTCGCAGACATTATTCTGAAAAATTTTGTCCCAATCGGACAAATATTGGGAGTTTGGTGCATCATTTATAAAACATCGGACGAAACTATATATGAGCTATATCAAAATCTGAACCGATTTAAATAGGGTTCGTCCTTGGGCCAAATAACTGAACTGTGCCAAATTTCATCCAAATTGGATCATAAATGCGACCTGTATTTTGTTCACAAAATTAAATGGACGGATGGACAGACTGACATGCGTAAATCGACTCATAATGTGATTTTATGCATTTTCTCAAAAGGAACCATGGGTCTATATTGATTCCTTTTGCCTGTTACAAACATATGCACAAAGACATAATACCCTGTACCACAGTGTGGTGAAGGGTATACAAATCTCTCTAATTTTATATGGACTGAAGATGGAGCTTATCGATCCACTGAGTAAAGGGATATCATCTAAAGATAATACCGTAAGCTTCACTCATTATTCACCTACCTAGTATATCTATAAAGCCTTGATCAAGTTTGAAGATAGGAGCCATTGGTACACTGGTACCTCCCCCACAAAGAGTGAAAATGTTCAATATTTATAAATCGAAAATCAGGCGAATGGAATGTCCGATTTGACCCAAATTTTGCACAATCTATTACCTTTACCAAGCCTAGATCAAGTCCAAAGGTGGGACCCGTCTGCCCCCAACTCCGGTACGTCCGACCAAAGGGGTCCTGGCTTTCCTTTTCATTGCAAAACTTAGATCATCAAGCTCGACTCGAAGGAGTATAAATAATCACTTAAAATTACTTTGGAATGATCACAAGGCAAAATTCAAATAACAAAAATTAATTTCAGCTGAGCACGGCTAGGGCTCGAACCTAGGTCCTCGGAGCAACATAAATGTTGCCAGACCACTTAACTTTCTGAGCCATCAACACACTTCCAAAAACGGTTGCGAAAAAAAACAGATGTATACCATGGAAGAAATTGTAGGTGTGTGGATGAATTATCCATCGCTACAACAAAAATCTGCTTTGAAAAGGACTGTTCCCTAGAATGAAGACAAATGTCGAACTTTGACAAATTTGAATTTCATTCGCGTATGTACGTTTCGCATCAGGGCGGAATAAATACAAGTTATCAACGTACGACCTTTGTAAAGCCACATAGACCAATATGCCTGATGAGCCGCTTAACCAACGGCGAAACGCGTCGCATAATGGTGGGTTCGATTTTCACGAAATTTGGCATAGAACACTGACATGAGTCTAGTTTCGTGTTTCGTGCAAATAGGCTCAGATTTAGATATAGCTCCCATAGGACCAAAATAATCAACGGGTGTCTGATTGAGATTAAATTTTGAAGAGTTCAGCATTCCGAATAGCGTGTGTCAAGTTTGCTTTAAATCGATTTACATAAATTTCTCCCATTGTACGCAAACGACACTAAATCTACCCGATTGTAACGAAATTTAGCATAGGTGGCAGAATGGCAAGTGTATGGATTGATGTTAGTCGGTTCACTTATAGATAAATATCACATATTTAATTTCGTTCAACTTCATGTCAATGTTCCTTCAAAAAGACTTCGTCTGTTAGGATACATATGTAGAATATACTCATAGTGGTGAAGGGTATCATATAGTCCAATCCGTCTTTACTACTTTCCTTACTGATTTTAAATGTAAACATGACACCTTTATCATTGAAACGACCTGGGCAATATTTCGCTGAATATTGACCGATCACAACGGTCATTCCAATTAGTTGGTCAAATTCTCTTACCCATGTGATGTGTTATAATGTTCGGCTTTTTATTGTGGTCTATAGAGCGACTTAAAAAAACACAAAAATTAACTTTTTATATATTTCAACCCCTAAATATTGATCATCTCCAAAAATTATAGGTGTCATCCTTGACCACAACCGAAAATTCTTGTAAAATTTCAAATCGATCAGTGCGAAACATATTACCCTCTAGTGTGGTAATGGTATAGGTAGACCTCTGGAAGTATTTACGTATAACTCCTACATCCAGGTACATACAATAATATAATTTTTATTAATTAAAGGCCAACCACTCCTTTAGTATATAATATATACTTTAGTATATATACTGTCAACTTTTGGGGGCTATACCCTTCAAGGGTAAATATATTCGCCAAAGAAAAGTGCAGGCTGGTAGAACTCGACGACATTTTTACACGTGTCAACAAAAATATATTCGGAAAAAATGAACATTAATATATGCAAAATTTGGGACTTTTAGGACTTACATGGGTTTGTATTCAAAACATAATTTTAATCCAAACTCATACAAAATATTTGTTGTTTTCAAATTTATTATTTAATTTCCGAAAAAGTGATGCAGGCAAATGTAAAATATTCATTTGTCCATAAATGATTTTAAAAGTGCAAAATAGGAAAGCGAATTTGATACTACCTAAAACAGAAAAACAATTGATTTAAATAATTTTTTCGACATTTCCAATGATTTACGTACCCTATTAAAACTTTGCAATGACAATACAGTAAATTGCATGACACTTAATTGAACCGGCCGATTGCTACGCATTATCATAAACATCAATTTTTGTCGAAAATTACGATTAGCTGGATAGTAACTTAACTCTTTCCACAACGGCAGTTTCATATTCAATGATTCTAATTCCAAAATTTCGGGATGTAAGAAGAGTGGTGAATTTTTTGATATATAACCACCTTCCCAATTGCAGGAAAATAAATAGAAGGCGGTATCTGTTGACTAAAACCAAGCATTACAAAATGTTATAAGAATCTTTCTTAAACTAATTGACCGTTCCACATACCTGTGTTATTAGTAAATTTCCCAATTTACATACAACAAATAATTGCCCAATCACCGCCAAAAAGAACATTAGAAATTTCATAAAATCACCAAAGGAACTTCGACCGGCCTGAAATGAAAAATCGGTATAAAGTTAGGGAATATTTTAAAATTCTAAAAGAGTTAGCGATCGTGGATTAGCCTACCAAGAATATTTCACATGGTGCACAATACACAAATACTTACAATTATGAACTGGAACCCCACAAAACAAATTAAAAATGTGGACGTGGAGTAATTGGCGAATAATGGAAATGAAAGAAAATTTTCCAATTCCTTGCAAAATCTGAAACAAAAAAAATTCCTTTTATAGCAACTATCTTACTCCACACCAATAAGAAAAAATCCCTTGTTTTCTTACTTTATTATTTCTTTGTGCCGTGCTGCTATTCGATGCAAACGCTTTGTATACATCTCCTGCAGACAATTCAATTTCATGGAATTCTCAGAGGAAGCACCACCACGGCAACCACCATATCGCTTTAACCACTCAGCATGACATTCCGGTATGAGACGTGCAATATCAGCGTGTAAAATCTCAAATTGTCCTG